TGAGAGGCCTCGCTGAAGCGGGTCATGAGCCGTTGGAGGTCTTCGGCTGAGTGGGCAGTGACTGCTGCGTCGTCGGCAAAAAGGAAGTCGCGCAGACACCTCAGCCGAACCTTCGTCTTGGCTTTCAGCCTGGCGAGGTTAAAGAGCTTTCCATCCGACCTGGTCTGGAGGTAAATGCCTTCCGTAACAGATCCGAAGGTGTGCTGCAGCATAACTGCAAAGAAAATCCCGAATAGGGTTGGAGCCAGTACGCAGCCCTGCTTTACTCCACTTCGGATGTCAAAGGCATCTGATGTTAGGCCATCAAAGACCATGGTGCCCCTCATGTTCTCATGGAAAGATCTGATGATGCTGAGGAGCCTGGGTGGGCATCCGATCTTGGGGAGGATCTTGAGCAGGCCATCCCTGCTGACGAGGTCGAAGGCCTTCGTCAGATCTATGAAGGCTACGAAGAGTGGCTGCTTCTGTTCCCTGCATTTCTCCTGCAGTTGTCTGAGGGAAAAGACCATGTCGATGGTCTTTTCGATGGTCACCTGCCAGCTCTGAATCCGCATTGTGATTCTGGATAGACTCTCTCTGCAAGTACTTGGAGCCTCTTCAATGCGACTCTAATAAACAGCTTTCCGACAATACTGAGGAGGGAGATTCCACGGTAGTTGTTGCAGTCGCCCCTGTCACCTTTATTCTTATACAGCGTGACGATGTTGGCATTCCTCATGTCCTGTGGCACCTCTCCTTCTTCCCAGCAGAGGCAGAGAATTTCATGCAGCTCCATGAGCAGGCTACCTCTGCAGCACTTCAATTTCTCAGCAGGAATGCCATCTTTGCCAGGAACTTTACCAGAAGCAAGGGAGTCTAGGGCATCTAACCGACCCTCTTCGATAGTCTGTTCGCTGTCGAGCTCCATTAACACAGGCAGACACTCAATGGCGCTCAGGGCGTCTTCGGTGACCACATTGTCCCTGGCGTATAGTTCAGAGTAGTGCTCGACCCAGTGCTTCAGCTGCAGTGTCTGGTCCTGAATCACCTCGCCAGTGGCAGATTTCAGAGCGGTCTTCCTCTGGATTGGGCCGAGGGCCTGCTTGATGCCGTCATACATTCCCCTTACATTGCCTGTATCCGCTGCAGTCTGTATCTGGGAGCAGAGCTGGAGCCAATAGTTGTTGGCACATCGCCTGGCACTGTGCTGCACTTTGCAGCGGACGGCCCGAAGGATCTGTAAGTTGCACTGACTTGGGCAGGCTTTGTAGGCTGCCAAGGCATTTCTCTTCTCTTCGATGACAGGTGTCATCTCTTCCGAGTGAGCCTCGAACCAGTCTGCCGACCTGCTGGTCTTCTTGCCAAAGGTGGAAATGGCAGCGTTGAACACTGCGTCTCTGAAGTGCTCCCATCTTTTACAGGCAGTGACCCCGGCTGGGCCAGAGAGTGCTTTGTCGAGCAGGGAGAGCTTCCTTGGTTACACTAAGGTACTATATCCACGTCCCACCATCCAAAAGGAATCAATTTATTCAGTAGTATCAGCACTCATCTTCCGCAAGGGAATATCATTAACATCTAGAACACAAAACCTTCTTCACGTCCACATTAAATTTATAAAAGGATAGCTATATCTATATAAATAAAAATGTAAATATTTGTTTGTTGAAAACCGATAATCTCCGAAAGTTCTTCACCGATTGCTTTGAAATTTTTACACAACGTTCCATTTGTATATGAGCGAGTTTTTATATTCTTACTATATAGATGTCATGTCTGTGACAGGTAAAATAATGTTTTTTTGTGAAGAATGTGTTTCGTGTGAGTTTTCATGTTAGGGAAATCTCCGAAACCTCTTCACCGATTGCTTTGAAATTTTGACACAACATTGCTTGCAAATATGCGGGTGTTTTATATACCTACTATATACATACCACACTTGTGACAGGTAAAAACATGGGTTTTTTGAAAAACCGTGTCATCTGCTGCACGAAAAAGCAACACACACACTGTAATCTCTGAAAGTTCTTCACCGATTGCTTTGAAATTTAAAAAAAAAACGTTCAATTCAAATACACACATGTTTTTATATACCTAATATATAGATGCCCACCTGTGAGAGGTAAAAACAGTTTTTTTTATTAAACAGCCCATCGGTTGCATGTAAAAGCAGCACACGCTACATTAAATATGCTACCATTCCATTTCAATGTTTCCGATTGCATTCATATATTGAATTTTCATAGATTTCGAATCATTTTAATTTTGATTTAATTATTTTGTGTGACATTGTGTTGGAATTGAGCTGTGTTAATTACCATTCCGTTCATATTGTGAGTATAGTTTTTTATATTTTGTCATTGTATTTCATTTCGTTTTTTTTAACTGTTCTTCTTATTTTCCAGTGATGGGAACATCAGATCATTTGGGAACGCATCGGACGAGGTAGTGGGGGAATGGTGGTGAGGACGAGTGGGGGATGGTGGGAAGGATGAGAGGATGGCGGAAGGGGGGTAATGGTGGAGAGTACGAGGGGATGGGGGGAGTGGAGAATGGTTGAGAGAACAAGGGGACAGGAGAGTGGGGGATGGTGGGGAGGTCGAGGAATGGGGTAGGGGGCAATGGGGGGAGGACAAGGGGGTCGGGGGAGTAGGGGATGATGGGGGAAGACATCGGGACGGGAAGGAGGGAATGGTGGGGAGGACGGCGGAACAGGGGAAGGGTTGCTGTGGCCGGGTACAGCTAATATATAATATGTAGTACTTTTTATGCTCAAGAACTTTTATTCAATGTCGGAAATATTGACACCATTTACTAACTTTCAATACAATATGCATATAATATTGCTGTTGATTTTGTACTAACAAATTACCACAACTGTATTTTATTTGATCATGTAAAGAAATTCGGGTTTGTGACTTCTCTTAGTAAATGGGAGTTATTGCAACGTCCCCAGATTAAATTTATTCATAATACTCACATTCAATAATTCTTAAATAACCAGTCTTGGCACTAGAAACAATAAAAAAAGTGTTACTCACGACTGGATCTAATAAATTACTAATAAAACTAATCCCCCCCCCCCCCGTTTGTCCATAAAAGGAGAGCATTTGAACCGTTTTTTGACACGTCGTAGACCAATGAGGAAAGAGAGATGCCATTATTATCTATTAACAGTTTAAACGGTAACAAACCCTTACAACCACAGGTTCCAACGAGTTGGCCACAGCAACAACACCAGCCCTGGATAAATGCACCCCATCCCGAGCATGCACGTCATTCCTTCCAAAAAAGTGTTCTCAGTTATTAATGAAAGATATTGCATTTGATTTGCAATATTTGTCTATTGCTAAAGTTTACCTTCTGTTTTCCAACTCAATCTTGGTTATACACTTTTTCCTTATTCTTTTTTTTTTCTTCCCTTACTTCTAACATTGTCTTTACTTTACCTTATTATATTTATTTTTACCCTTTCTCATTTACTTACCCTTTTCTCTCTTTTTATCTTATTCTTAACTTTCATCTAATTCTTACCGTTCATCTTATTCTTATATTCATCTCTCTCATTCCTTTCACCTTTCATCTTTCTCATTCAGTTCACCTTTTATTTTTCTCGTTCATTTCACCTTTCATCTCACTCTCTTCCCTCGTATTGTTTATCTCCTCCACTCTCTTTCTATAACACAAATTGATAATTGTAGAGTTCTGACCCGAACGTCGTAATTTTTTCATCTTCTGATGTGTGGTTTAGATATCACATCTTCAGCCACGTTATTGTGACTTATAACTTGACATTATATATATTTCACTCGAGAACTCTTCGATAATATTAGCATAACTAGTCGATTCCATCCATTCTGTTGTCCTACGTTAATCCTTCATTGTTCTGTCTCATAAGAATGTTCGTGAAAATCTGTTATGTATATTTCCTCTGTTCTGTCTTCTCTTCTGTCACTTGTCTCTTCTCTAGCTCTGCAGGATTTCAAATAACAATAGAGTTCTTTCTCTTCATCTCCGACATCTTGCATTTCACGATCTTCTGGGTTTTCACAACCTCTATCACTATTACATTATAATTTATTTTCCTCTGCGCTGTAAACTAAATCTACAGCGGTTATATCGAGTCTTATTATTTACTGATCAATCCATTATACACCTGCTTACTTCTCTCCTCCATAGCCATTGGTACATCTATTTGTTTTTCTGTTCATACCCTTCTGTATATAATCTATTATGTGAACCCTGAACATGCTCTTCCCATACAAGAAACTTTTCGTTAGATTCTTCGTTTTCTCTTCAGGGATGCTAATTTTAGTACATCACTCCTAGTATAAACTGTTTTGAGGCCCTTAATGATTCTCTTCTGTCCTCCTATATTTTTTCTTTCTTGTATTTCCAGAGAGTATTTAGTGCAGTTGCCTCTTTTCGCAGATCCCCATTCTCCTCTTCCATTCGCTTTCTCTCCTTATATTTTTCATTCTGGCCAATATCATTTGTACTAAGCCTAACTTCAAGAAGGAATCGGGGCTTACGTTTACCATATAGTTCATTATCACATCTTCTCTCAGCTCCTATTCTCAAGAGTGGTCAGTATTTACGTTTTTTATGTTCTTAACTAATTCCTTTGCTTTCCAAGCCACAGTTGTCTTTAAAACAATGGAACTTTCCTATGTGAAAACTTTCTACATTAAGAAACCTGTTAACTGGTTGAAGCAGGTATTGAAGAGACGAGTTTATTAAGACCTAATGAGCTTACGATTTCCAGGTTTACTAATGATTGATGCACACATTCTATTTGTTGACTAAATTATTCAATATTGTTATTTTGTGACAGGTAAATGTTATTAGGTTTAAATGCTTTATTTAACTGTAATCTAAAATGTTAATCCTAAATGTGGCACATAAAAATGCTTTATGTAACACATTTAAAAACCTTTTTGGGTGTCTTTTCATAACCGAATATGCTCTTTCTTCAGTTCACTGATATATTGAATATATTGTTGACCCAATAAAATTAAACTTACCTCAGATATTATTGTCTCCTGAAATACAGAAGTGTCGTATTCCACTTGTGGACAGGAGAGAAGCGTGGTGGTACGTAGATGGTTTACGGAGGCTGGTGGGGAGAGTGGGCTGGGCAGCGTGGGCACAGGGTGTGGGCTGGAGAAGACGGGCACTAGGAGTGGGCTGGTTAACATTTCTGGATGACATTGGTTGTCGTACACTACTTCGACTTCACTCCTTGCTGGGAAAACCATCGTTTCGTTGGTGATTGCGGCGCTCTCCATGAAGACTCTGGGGAAAGTTAAGTGCGGTTACACTAGGTGCAGTTTAATCAACCTGTCCTCTTAAAAAGAACGTCGCTTTTGGCCGTTTGCCCGTATGGCAAAAATTTGGACGTAATTTGAAAATGAAAAAAAATGAAAATAAATTTGGGATTTTTTTTTCAAGAACAGTAAGTTAAGGGTCCTCTGATAGGTTAGGTGGGTAGGAAATTCTTATAAAGCTTCAAAACGTTATGAAAAACGTTAATTTAAAGTGTCCTCTTATAACCTCTGCGCGTACGCCGGACGACTCAAATAGAAAACGGAACAGAACGTCACTTTTGTGAGTCGATTTCATTTCAAATTACGTCCAAATTTGGCCATAGCGCGCATACGAGCGAAAAGTGACGTTATTTTTAAGAGGACGGGTTGGTTTAATAGCGTCGGAGAACGGCAATTTGAAAACAACGACAAATCTCATGATTTTTACATCATTTTCTCCTACTCCAAAACCTGCAAACATGAGAGTTTGCCTGACTCCAGACAATATATAACCATCGCAACAAAATCATTGGCAATCACATTCCAGAAGACCAAATAATATTCAGCAGAGAGGCCATCACTGGCAGGAGTTTTCTCCCCTTCCTCAAGGTCTTCACTACCTCCCAAATCTCATCAATGTTAGCCTCAATAATCAATGAATCATTGTCCACAGGAGATAATACTCCCAAACAGTGCCCAAAAAACTATGATCCCAAAACAGTATTACTCCTTTTCCTCCTATATAAAACTTCTAATTTCGCTTGAACATATCGAAGCATACCATCCGTACTGTGCAACAACCTTCCACCAGGCGACCTTAACCCTGACATGAAGTAAGAACGACGAGATTTCTCCCTCCATAGCATTAACTGCGATAATTTCTCACATGACAGCTGCTATGAACCCCCAGATAGCCTCATGATGTAGGTCCGCCCCCACAGTGAGAGTTATCCCTCACTTGACCTTAGAGAGGATTCAGGGGAATGATTTAATGCAAGCAGGCGTCGTTGGATATGACTGAGGAGGAGATAAGTCGCGGATGAGAATCTTTACGGAAACGAGGTAAGATGTCGACAGTATGCGACATGATGTCGTGTGCAAATATGCTAGTGTGAGGGTCTGAGGGATAGATTGCAGGGGAAAAAGGATATTTGTGACTTGTGGAGAAGAATCTATATTAATCTTGGAGAGTAACGAGCGTTGAAGCAGTGGGAGGACGAACAGTGGCAATAAAAAGGGGCCACCGCTGAAGCCTGTTGGGTGGTCGTTCCCCTGATGATCCACTGTGTGTGTGTGTGTATCCTTCATGAGGATCGTTTTGGTAGATGGACGGGATGGTACCTGTGCTTTGACCCTCCACACTCAAGTCAAGACTTATGGGAGTCAATAACAACAGTTAAAAGGAAAGTTTTCTGGGCGATTTGGGAGAGTGCCAAATTTGAACCTCATGCGACAAGCGTCGTTGCTCCAATATTTTAAGGTAAAAGCCTTTTAAACTATCGTAGGTTGCTTGTTGCTGAAAGATCAAGTGTCCAGTGATCCTGTGTAATGTTTAGAAGTGTAAATTAGAAATGTTTTCAGAAATAATGATATTATATTAGGAGTTTAAAATGAAATAACATGATGGAGGTTGAGGCGGTACATGCTCAGTGCAGCGGTGGTGTTTGATTGACTGATGGGAGGGGGCTCATCACAAATTGCTAGTGTAGACTCGCCCAGTTGGAGGAGAGTAACCCCCACAGTGCAAACCGGCGAGCAGAATCTGGGATTGTAGGAGGAATTTTATTTACCAAATGTTATAGTTGTTTCGAAGGGAGTTTTTTTTGTTATTTTGTGGTTATGAAATTACCTTTACGTATGTTGGACATGGTTTATCCATGGACGCTGCAGCAGTGATATATGGGGAGTTGAAACTGGATTGTACTTACTTGAGGACCCACTGATAGATAGTTCTGGTGTTGATTCGCAGGAAGATTAATGATTAAAGAGGAGACTTGTTGGTTAACAAAAGAAACTGATCTTCAAGAGGAAATAAAGAGGGTTGAGAGGTCATCAGCATATGTTTGTGAGACGAATAGATACATGTGGTATGTCTGATGCAGTGAAATGTCAGAGCATTGATTTATTGAGAATATTAATTTACATATAAAAAGTCTAGCCTGGACGGCACTGGCTAGTATGACTGATGCACAGCGAGTTGCTGAGGAGAGCAAGCAGCAATCTAGTAGATACAATTATGTTGAGTACTTATGATGTGTATGTGTAATACTCTATGCTGCATTATGTTATGATCCCAGGTAGCTGAGAAACGAGTCTATCTTGAGAGTTATTCTGAAAGACCTGACCTAAATAAGAGGTCAAAGAAATATAGACATGGAGGTACATACGTAAAATAATTGGTTAGATTTTATAAATAGTTTAAGAGTATGGGCAGTGATCAAGAATATAAGTAAATGACGAGAGATGTGGAGAGTTAGCTGGAAGTGTGAGCCTCGCTTCTGGAGGGCTTTGACCTCCACTTGAGCACCAGACATCGAGAGGGGAAGCCGCGCTCCGTGTGAGCTTCTGTTAGAGAGGAACCCCTAGTTGATATACCTTCAAGAGGAAGGAAGTGTACAGACGTTTCAGCCGTGGAATCAAGTTGGGAACAATGTGGTCTGAAGTCTTGGACGGCAGGAAGAGTTGTGAAGCCGTCCTGAAATACTTTCGTTGGGCAACTTGTGAGTGCCCTGTCGAGCATCGGCCAGGAAGCGCCCTTGACTAGACAATCTGTGGTTTGTCTGGGGAAGGAGATATTGGGATCTTCGAAGCCAGCAGAGAGGGAGTAGCTGATGAGACTCCAAGAATTGTGGAAGGTACTGAGCTCTGTGGAAGAACAGCCATACAGTGAGGAGCAGGACCTCAAGCTGTGAGAAGAGGAGCAGTAGAATGAAGTTTCACATGCTTCTGTGATACCAGTGGTGAATCACCATTGTTGCTCAAGGAAGACTTCATGGTGTAGCAGCCGGGAGAGCTGTAAAGGACCCTGGTAGACGATTCTAGAAAAATCTGAAGATGTCAGGGTAGTGAACTTCCAGATGTGGATAGGAAGTTCTTATTGACCACTTGTAGGGAGCTCGTAGAGTGTTTGGTTGTCATTAGCGTGCAAGACGCAATGAAAGGTGGGTGATTGATTACCATTTTCATGCCATGGAGTACTTATACTGAAGTACAAGGCTTATACGTAGGCTGGATTACCTGCAGATAAATATATATGTTCTAGGACTGATAGGGTGATTGATCATTATTGTGTGTCAAGGAGTATTTATACTGATATTTAATTTATTGCAGTTATAGGGTGGTTTTCCTTGTATGTATATATATATATATATATATATATATATTCTCTTGCTGATAGTGCAATATTGTCTTATGAGACTTGACCTACTTGGTGAGGTTGGTGGTATAAATGGTGAGACAGCAGTTAGGCTACCATTTGATAAGCAGATGATAGAGTCCTGATGTATTGGAGTGCAACCTGACTACAATTGTATAGAGTGTTGGAGTCATATATATATATGGGTGTGTTGGAGTCATTTATGTATTGGAGTGTTGGAGTGTTTTTATATGTATTGTGCAATGTGCCTTGTCCAGTAAAGTATTCAAATTTGCCGGTGTTTGCCCTTGTCCTAGTGAGGCTTCCCAGAAAGTAAAAGAGAGAGAGAGAGAGAGAAAGAACCAAGAATCATAGCTATGGACACGGTGGTACGGAGTAATATCAAAGAAAAGGGGATTGAGCAGATCAAAACACATACGGAGAGAGTGGGGAGTCACGGCGGCTCGAGTGGGTGTGTGCACGTGACAACGAAGCTAGTGTTGGAGCCACATCCCCTAAATTTGTGATACTGAACCCCTCTCCAAGTGCCAGAAGCGCCCAGGGTGATCTCCTGGTCAAAATAAGCACTCTCTGGGTTTTGGGTTGGGTTGTCTGTAAGGACGGATAACAGACGACCGTCATCAATATCATAATCATTATCACCTGCTTATATTGTGTTATTTTGTTATATGTTTGTAATAAATGTTTGTCTGTCAAACAACTGTGTTTGCACTTGTCCTTGTAAGGGTTTATGAGAAGAGAGAGATAAATAGTTGCAGGCTGGACCACAGTTCACATAAAACAAAGGGGAACTAGAAGGTCTTCCAAGAAAAGGAGAGAGAGGGTAAGTCATTCTTACATAGTTTGAATGTGAACACATGACAATGGGCCAGTTCTGAGCCAAGTCCCCATCATTGTGACATAAGTCACAATGATAAGTCACTCCATATTTAGGATCTTTACTGGGTGACTCGCCAGTGTGTGCTCCGCTGGTGCTCTGGTGTTAGTAGTGGTAAGTTCTGTTTTTATTACTTATCTGCGGCTCCCTGATAAGTTGGGGGCCCCTGATACAGACTCTCATCAACAAGCGCCCTAACCAACATACAAACAGCAATTTCAGACCTCAACTTGTTCAATTTGACTTCGCATATCGAAATTTCATCATACTTGTTCAACCACGCATCTCCAGGGAATACAACCTAACCAGCTGAGCCCGCAGGACATTTAAGAGGTCTTCAACCCCCTCTGTCGCCGCCCTCTTTGCATATGAAAAAAATCTTGTCTTCTAATTCTGCATTTCCAACCAATGTAATATAAAAGGAAAACTTTCTCTTCATTTTCTACACAACGAACTCAGCAGACGAAATCCAGGAAGAATGTCATTTTCATTTAACAAACTACAATTTAAATTCCACCACCCAAACCAAATCACTAAACTCTATATTCTCAACAACTAAACTTTGATCAGAAAAAATAACCGGAACGGTTCTCAGCTCGTGAATACCACTATTTAAACGATGCATATACAATCTGTTCAACAAACGACAATTGCTGCATTTGGAATACCACAAACCGGTTACTTCTCCTCCAGTGTCTTAGACACATTCACAATTCCACGTTGTCACGTTCAGAGG